CAATGGAAATCTATGCAAATAAAGCGCAAGTTGAGTTTTTGATATTGACATTAAATTATGTTTACTTGTTTGCATACAAAATTGAATTTGAATTTGACAAGTTTGAAATGGTTTGAAATTGCTCGCTGAACTGTTTTCAAAGTGCATGTTTAAAATACTTATTTAACATGTTTAAAAGTTGTTGCAAAATCATTAAATGTATATTGACTCTTAACGATTCTTGGTATTAAAACTTCTTTCAGTTGAACCATTAAAATACAATTAAATTTAGTTGATATCTTGAGTTGTGGGTTAGTTCGTGGAAAGTGTTCACGAAATTGTAATTTCCTTTCACTTTTTCTTGCATTTCTTGGGAATTTTGGGTTAGCGGCTGCTGTTGCTGTTGCTGCTGCTGCTGCTGTTGCTCCTTCAGCTGTTGCGTCTGCAATTCCTGCCGCAACCTGCCTCAAGGAGAAGATGACGACGACATTATTCTCAGAACGCCATTCAATGTCAATAAAAAGCGAGGCCACTTCCACCGACAAAACAACAACAACAACAACAACCGCAACAACAACCACAAAGGCCTTGACAGCGGTTGCCTCTTTTGTTGTTGTGGTTGTTGCATTTGTTGTTATTGTGGTTGTTGTTGTTGCTGTCACAACAAAAGCTGAGCAAACTCCAAGTGCACATCTCGCATGCAACTCTCACGGTAGCTGTGTGGCAGGGCGGGGCATGTGTTGGCAACTGTGCAACTGTTGCCTTATCGGCTTATCAGCAGACGCCCGCAATGTTTGACCAACTTTTTATATTTCCTCTTTTTTTTTTTTTTTTTTTTTTGGGGCCCTTGTCGTTTTCGAGGCGTCGCGTAAATAGTGAGTAACAAAAAAGTGGTGGAGGTCGCGGTGGGGGCAGAGGAGGGGAGACAACAGCATCCGTTAGGCATTTGAATGTGGCGCAAAAGCATTGGAAAAAGTGAGAAATATTCAAAAAAAAAAAAAGTGTAGTAAAAAATAAGCAACGACGACGTCGACTGCGTGGGAAATTGATGAGCAGCGCAGCCTAACCAAATATGTTGCCGTTGCGGTCGGCGTCGCAGTCTCAGTCGCAGTCGCTGCTTTCTGTGTATCTGTAAGATACATTTCATATTTGTGAACTTGTGAAAAATCGTTGCCGCTGCTAATTGGCTGCATTTGTAGTCAATAGTTTACACATTGGAAAAATGAAAATTTTGTATTTACTGCCTGGGCTGTAAATATTTGTGCTTTGCCTTTACAATTGCAACAATGTTGTCTTTTAATAACAAAAGCAGCAAATGGCCCATGGTCCATGATAAAAATACAAAAAAAAAAAGAAAACAAAAAACCAAAAACAAATACAACAAAAAAAAAATAACTTTGGCATAAATGCAAAATGCAAAAAGTGAAATAAATTCGCATTTTTCATACACTACGCGCTGCTAACGGCCACTTGAAGATATCACTTAATGAGATTTGCGCATCTCCAAATGCAACCAAAAGCAACAACAACAAATGCAACAACAAAATAATGAAGACGTGCTTGAGTTGCCAAGTGCTCGGCACTGTTGTTGTTGTTGCTGTTGTTGTTGTTGCTGTTGTTGCGAATGCTGCAAACGAACATCACTTGATTCTGATTAGCGTGCTGTCAAGCGTGAGAGCTGACTACACACACATCCACACACACACACACACACACACATACACACACACACGCGCATACTTGCATGCCACATGCACTTGTTGTGCGTCATATTTGACGGGTTGTTGTGGGGCGGTTTGGTCGCGACGATACCAACAGCAGATAAGCCGCCGCCTGCCGCTGGCAACTTGTCCAACCGATCCGCCATTTGGCCTCCGGTCTCTGCGTTCGTTCGTTCGTTCGATCTTCTTCTTCTACTTTTTTTAATCGCTTAATAAGCTTCAAGTCGAGCCCGGTTTGTTGTAATTAAGCGCAGACAGTGCGGATGGAGGATACATGTCCATTTACTTAGTTGATGTTTCTTTTTTTTTTTTTTTGGTGTTCTCCTCTGCACCTCTGCAGCAGTTACACGAGCTCTTCAAATGTACAGCAAATACATAATGTAAACGATTTAAAAAATACTTTATAATAATTTACAGAATATACAAATTCAAGCATAAAATGTAGAGCCTAATTCTATTTATTATATACAATTATGTATAATTAAGACCATTTATATTTATATTTATTATTATTATTTTTTTATTATTACTATTATTATTATCATGCATATTATTATTATAAGGTCTATTTTGCCTCCTCTTTTGAGCTTAAGACATGTTTCTCTAGGATACTGCATCTTTTTCTGGCTAAGCCAATAGACTCTGCTCTGATGTGCTTTGTGGAATCCTCCTTAATTTCACAATATCGAAGATATTCTGCTACTGATCTCTTAGTTTGCACAATTCAGTGCAAATTCTAAGTTCATCATGGATTTTACTTTTTTAAATTGATCTAAATCTTCTGATTAAAGCTGTCTAAAATAGGCCTATCTGAGACTTGGTGTCTCTCTGCCCAACTTGATGCCTCTCTTCTTTTGTCAGTTGCTGTAATATGTTTCTGATACTTCTGAAAGTGAAAGCCTTATTAAATGTGTGTAAATGTTTTGATAATTATATGTAAATAGTTGGTTAATTTAATGATCATTTGGCGGTCAATCAATAATTATTTTGCCTTCTTAGTGCTTATACTCTATTGTAAAATGAAAAGTAATATTGTTTTTTATTTTTTATTTTCTGCTGTTATATATATAATATATAATGCTGCGTCTCCCATTATTCAATTAAATATTAATAAAAAACATTTTTCTAATTAAATGCAACTGAACTGTGAATGTGTTTTTAAAGGACTTTTCAATAATTAAACTATCAAAGGTACCAGCATCTTAATTCACAGTAAATACTCTAGAGTGCTTCTTGTGTTCTTCAAGTCTGGCAAATGTTTACTAACCACTTAGTTAAGTTTATTTCTCAGATTCTTTTTCAGGTTTTCCTTTTTTGTAGGTTCTGTTTTTCTATTGAATCACTTTGATTAAAACCAATTTTGGCTGAGGCAGGCAAGAAATTATGTTGGGCTCGAACCTGGGCACCTGTGTACATAAATTTGTGCACCGCTCACAAACACATTGAAACATTCACATGACACAAACACTCATTGTGTCCAATGCACACTTGTCTCAATCGAAATAAATTGGCTTAGCTGAGCAAAATCTGTTGCCAGTTCATGTTTATTTAGGATAAATAATTCAATATACATGAAACGAGTATATAAAAGTAATCCGCATAGAGGCAACCTTTATCTAACGGCCCACTTGCCACGCCTATCTCTTTGATTGAATTTGTTTCGGAGAGTGTTTTTTTTTTCTTTCTTTTTGTGTTGCACAAAAAGCTAACTCACAATAAGGATTACGGTAATTGAGTTTCCTCGACTATCAGAAATTCTAACCTAGATAGATAGGTGAAATTGGAAATTGGAGCAGACTAAAGGCTCAAAGCTTTTTAGATAAAACCTGTTCAATTTACCAATATTTTCTTATTATATCTTTTCAATAACGTGGCAATAAAAATGAACTAAGAATTAAGTTTGTATCTAGTAGAAAATCCAATAATAAATACGAGAAAAATTTCTGCTCAGGGACAGGTAAATATCTGAGACAAAATTTTACATAATCATAAATTTATTTTTGAAAAATTATAGCAATCTATATGTTAAAAAAAAAACGTAATATTTTCCTTTTTTGAATACATGTGCCGCAAATAATCAAACAGCTTTATCAAGTTGCATCAACATATAATACAATTGTCCCTTATGGGTTTTATACATTGAAAACATATTTCATGAAAAAAATCTCATATTTTCTGCAAAGGTATAACAATATACATAAATGTGTGTGTGTGTGTGTGTGTGTGTGTGTGTGTGTGTGTGTGTGTGGGTGGGTGTGTGTGGGTGGGTGTGGGTGTTTGCCTTGGTAAAAGTCTGTTAAGTTGTGGACCCATTTTTGTTGAACACTTTTGTGTGTATGAAGTTATCATACGCCTCGTCAATTTTATTTAAAATAAAATACAATATACAAAGTTACACAGAGAAAAACTAAAAACTAAAATCAAGAAAATATTCAATATACAGAGATACACAGAGAAAAACTAAAAACTAAAATCAAGAAAATATTCAGTGAGTTTATTATAAAGAAGTATTTTCAATTCAGTTCTCATTTTTACATATTTTGTAGAAAAAATGTTTAATTTTCCATTGCACAAATTTTGCCCTGTGTAAGAAGGCTGAGAGGGAGACATGAGAGAGAGAGAGAGAGAGAGAAGGCAAAATTGTAGTGTCCCCGAACGAGGAAAAGAGATTTAAGTTTCCTAGGCACTTAAGGGTCATAAGTGACAAAAAAAGCCAACTGAAAAATCAATTTCACATTTCATTAAAAGAAAAATCGAGAGAAAAAAATACGAAATTCAATCGAATTTTCTTTCTATTTTATATAACATAGAATTTAAATAAATCTTTGACAAGCATTCTTTTTCGAAATAATGTTTGCAATATTTTTGCTTGTGACTTTCTAATTCAGTTATATTCAAGACTTGTGGCCTTAAGGCATCCACTTGCAGACATTGCAATCAAGTGGTTGTTTTTGATGTTGATGTTCTTGTGGTATTTGTTGCTGTGGTTGCTCTTCGTTTTGGTTTTGCAGGCCAATAAAAAGTTGTGGTTGCAATTTAGAACTTTTTTAGCTGCGGGCTGCTGTTTCTTCGTCCCTGACAAATAAAAGTTTTAATTGCAATTTTCAGTTTGACATAATTCGCGAATTTTCACATCGCCAACGGCTGGCGATGAGCAGAAACACTTTTCCCGAAGCTCTCGGTTTTTATTTTTATGTGTTTGCTTCCATTGTAATTAATGTCAAGCGAATGCCGTAAAGCGTTTAATTTACCACTTAAACTCATCACACTTTTTACGCCTTTCTACAACTTTTTTTGCAGAGCGCCCTCCGATCGCAAAAAGGAGCACATCAAGCGTCCAATGAACGCCTTCATGGTCTGGGCCCAGGCAGCTCGACGTGTCATGTCCAAGCAATATCCCCACTTGCAAAACTCCGAGCTGAGCAAATCCCTCGGCAAACTGTGGAAGTGAGTATACGACAAGAGTTGACGATTGCAATGAATGCAATAGATATTTACATTTATACTACAAATAACGAGATATTTTGAATGAAAAGACAAGTTTTCTTGCTCAAAATGACTATTCATTATGTCCACTTGTAAAACTCAGAGTTGAGCAAATCCCTCGCCAAAATTCAGCAGTGAGCATACAATAAAAGTTCAAGTAGATATTGGGATAAAATAATCTATATTCACGTTATTTGATTAACTCTATAGCAGAGTTTTCCTTAAATCTAAAAATTATTTTTTAAATCGTAGCAAAAACCACACATATTTTTAAGCACTTCAAATACTCTGATATCAAAAGTATAACAATTTATGATACGAAATAAATTTAGTGTAAATCGGAATATGAAATGCTAACTATGAACTGAGATTGCGAAAATGATCAGAGGCCTTTCCCACCGCACAGATTGATCCCAATTTAAGTTCAACTTTGTTGTGAAGTCTTAGGTAGTCAGAGATTTCTAATCGCATTTTGCTCAACAATTAAAGACAGCATGCGATACAAGTCGCCGATTTGTCTTCATCGACTTAATCAAAATTCAAATTGTACGGCTCAGTTGACGCGATAAGTCGAATATTGAGAATGCCAGCTGATAAGGGCTGAAGCCGGCAAAGGCGGCAAAGCATCCGTCTCAGTTAATTGGAAGGCCGAGCGCAGGGCACTTGTCACTTGTCGACCAATTTGTAGACCAATAAATAAGCGAAACATTTGACGTGGAAGTGGCCATAAATTAAATCGCTGATTATGCGTGCCACCCTCCCCTCTCTTCGCCCATCCGCTCTATCTCTCTCTGTCTGTCTCTGTTTTCGCAGAAATCTGAAGGATAGCGATAAGAAGCCGTTCATGGAATTTGCAGAGAAGCTGCGCATGACGCACAAACAGGAGCATCCCGATTATAAATATCAGCCTCGTCGCAAAAAGGCGCGCATCATGCAACAGACCGAGGCAGCAACAATTGCGGCAGCCACAACAACAACAACTGCAACATCAACAACAGCAGCAGCAGCAGCAGCAGCAGCAGCTGCCACTTCAGCTGTGCGACGCGCCAACGGCAACATGGCTCAGCGTCGCTTGGTCAAAGCCAACAATAACAACAACAACAACAACAACAACAGTAGCAGCTGCAACAGCAGCGGCAACAACAGCAGCAATTTGTGCACCACCAGCAGCAGCAGCAACAGCACCACCACCACCAACAGCAGCTCCAGTCCCGATGTTTTCAGCAATGAGGCGTTTATGAAATCGCTGAACAGCGCCTGTGCTGCCAGTTTGCTGGAACAGGGCCTCGCTTTGGACCACGAACTGGAAACGGAGCGCGGCCTGCTCGACTCACCCTGTTCCACGAACAGTTCACTTTCATCGCTAACGCCCCCGACCACGCCCTACAATGGCAAACAGCAACAACAGCAGCAACAGCAGCAGCAGCAGCATCTTAATTCTAGTCTATTGCTGCGACAGCTCAGTGAACCAAATGTTGCAACAGCTGCAGCAGCAACAGTTGCTGTTGCCAACAACAACAATGATTATGGCGTCCTGCTCGACGCTGGCCGGGAATATATAGCGCTGGGTGAGCTCAACTATGCGGGACAGACCGGTGTGCAGGAGTTGGATTTTCTGGAGAACATTGGTGGCTACAATCAGTATAGCACGCGTGGCAACTATGCTGGCTATGCTGGCTACAATGGTGTTGCGGCTGCTGCCACAGTTGCTGCGGCGGCTGCGGCTGCGGCGGCAGCGTCACACACCAATGGAGCGGTAAATTACTTGGGCACGCCTGGGAAAACGGCGTCGGCATCATCTGCGGCGGTCGACATTGATCCCAAGGAAATCGACCAGTATTTCATGGATCAAATGTTGCCCCAAACGCACCAGCATATGCCGCCCCAAGCCGTTGTTGCTACTTTAACCAACACACACTCGCCCCCCCTAAACTCATCCGCCTCGCTATCCTCGGCCTGTTCCAGCGCCAGTTCCCAGCAGCCCGTTGAGTGTTTGGCCTCGCCCACTACTGGTTACTATGAGCACTTGAGCTACCAGACACCGAACGGAAATGCCAGCTATGCACACTACGTTGCAACAGACTCCCCCCAGCAACATCAACATCAGCAACAACAACAGCAGCATCAGCATCAGCAGCAGCAGCAGCAACAGCAACAGCAGCATCAGCAGCAACATGAGCAGCAACAGCTGTCGCATCAGCAGCAACATCATCTTTGGGGCACTTATGTGAATCCCTAAGCTGCTTAATTTGCACATTTGTCCACATGGCCAGTGCTTTCACTTCTTCCACTGACCTTTATGGCTTAGACGATGGCTTACGTTTATTGGTTTATTGTCTGTGCAATTCCAAAAGAGGAGAGTCTCCTGAAACATCCACTTGTCGATATTTTGCAATTTAAGCTAATCGCTACGATTTTCGCTTATGGCCAATAGTCAATAGATGCAGCTGATGATAATAAGGATGATGAGGATGATGATGATTATGTTGCACAAAGCATATTCAACATTCATATGGCAATTCAACTTGCAAATAGTCCATTGTGCCATAGAAAATATGGAATGGCTAAAATACAAATGGCATTGGCTACCATTTACAATAGCCAAAATGGGGGAGTTTATCATTATTAATATTATTATTATCATTATTATTAAATCGATTGCATAGCTTTCACATGGGTTACATATATTTTGATTATTTATTCCTTTAACGAAATGTGCACTTGAGAAATAGAAGAGTGTTTATTCGATTCTTGTAGAATAATTGGCTCATCTAAGTAGTTAGTTAGTAAATACAATGTATATCTTATATATTATATTAGAAAAAACGAAGAAAGACACTTATAATGATCCCAAAATATCTATTTGTAAACTTAATTTATCAGTTCGTTCTGCACACAGAAAATAAATCAATCAAAAATTGTTCTGCAAAATATATATGTTTGTAAATTAATTTTATGAATTTGTTCTACACTTGCAAATTAAAAATATATCATCAGATGTTATATTTATTAAAGCAACTCTAGTTGTTATTCGAAATAAAACAATTATTAAACATGAATGCAAAAATAAATACAATAGCAAATAAAGCGCTGTTAAATATACATTTATAAATGTGAACAACTTAACAATTTATTGAATAAAAGGTAAAATAATTTTTAAACTTAAATATCAATATTTTTTAAGTTAAGAAAATACTGTTGAAAATCGGAAAGAATTTGGTTGCTCAGTTATTAAAAATGATTTATAATCAGATGAAAATCTTTTACCGGTCTTATAATTACCTCAACTTAAGCTCTTCAATTCAAAGAAATGCCGTCGGCTATTTTTGGATAAGCACATTTAAAACAGAGTAAAAATGGGAAATACTTAGCATATTTTTGGCTCATACTTCCATTAAAGACATACACATCATGAGCATAAATATTTGACAAAATTTAAGCATAACTTCTATTGGAGCATTTCAACGAAGACAAAGCCAGAGATTTGCCGTATTTTAGAAAATCTTTTTAAGCTTTTTACATTTTCCCATGCATAACGCCACACGCAGGCCGTCAAAAGCAGCTGTAAATTTCGTAAGCCCAAAATAAATTCCTCTGAAATTAACACCCGCCCACCAAATGGGCCATTTACTCGTATATATATATATATATTTTTTTTTTTTCAGATTTTTTTTTGGCACACACTAACATAAAATAAAGCAACAAAATGAAAACCCTACGCAGCTCACTGACGATGCCGGCAGATATATACACATATATATGTATATATATATATAAACATATGTTTGTGGATGTGCATATGTACCCATTTATATATTTTTTCATTTAGCGCGGCGTTTATTTATTTATTTTATGTTGTTTTTTCACCGCTTTTCAAAGCTTAGCTCAATTTGCGCATGTAACAAGTTGTTGTTAATTGAAGCGCAAACGGGGCGAGAAAACAAATGAAAACGGGAATTAGCAGACCAAAACCGTACTGAACCAATGGCAAATGGCCATAACACAAAATGGCCGAGTGTAAAGTTGAAAATATCACAAAAATAAAAATATTAGCTCGATTTGACGAATTTTGAACACACTTGCTAAGAAATAAATACCTAAAGAAATAAATTCAAAAATGTCAAAACTGAACCGATTTTTTCAAGCAATATATTTCTGAAGTCATAGCTGCTCCTTTAAATTAAAGTTGCATTTAAGTTTTAAATTACAATAAGATTTTTCCTTACTAATATAAGACAATTAAATAAAAAATCTAAATATGTTCAAGTGCTTGAAAATTGAAAACACCCATTGGCAAGGGTATACAATTTGTACATAAAAAAAAAAAAATATGTACGTATTTTGTGCACATTTAGAAAGTCGTGAAACAAATTGGCCAAAAGCGTCGCTAAGCCAAATTAACACATTTCCTGACCACTTGTTTATTTATTCACATAATTTATGCACAATATTTATTTAAACGATTCGTTTTTCGACTTCTTTATTTGAGGCTTTCTCAATAATTGGCTGAAATTTTTTACGTAATTTGAGTATTAACTAGGAGATTTACGAGTAATTCATTTAATTTGTATTTATTCTCTTTCCAGATATTCGCTGCAATTATGTTGCTCTATATCTCAATTAAAGTGCCGCACAAGGCAAATAAATGATTTGCTTGGATTAATTTATGGCGCAGCCAGCCAGGGGTGGGGAGTGTAGAGCGTTTTGGGGGTGTGTGTGTTTTTTTGTGTAAATGGTATTAAAACTAATGACATTTACGGCAAAGTTTGCCTGGCTTTTGAGTCAGCCCAACGCATTGCGTTTAGCTTGCCCTGCAACGGGTCGTATGCGTAATGAAATTTTGTGTGCCTTGTGCTTTTGTAACTCAATTAATGGCCGCAACGAGTCAGAATCTAATTTTCGAACGGCGCTCACTTTAAATTCACTTAAAACTTGCAGCAAGTTTAAAGTTTCTCATTAAGCCTGACCAGCAGCTTAAGGTTGGGCACCTGCTGTGGGTTTTTTTCTGAATTTGTTCGCTTAAATTGGGCCTAGAAGTGCCGACAAATGGTCATTGAGCTAGCTGCACATTTCACGGAACGCTCGACCTCGTTGACCCACAAATAGCAAAGCAAAGCATAACAAGTAAGAGTGATCGAGTCGAGAGGGAAAGACTAGAAGATATCCTGTTTGCAATTCATTACATTTCGTAATGCTGTATCTTGAAAGCTGCGGGTAATTTAAGATGAGGCAAGTTATATTCAAAATTTGAAGCAACTAAATCTTATAGACACAGCGACAGGCATATATAACTGATCACAAAAATATATGGTATTATTTTTGCCTGTTGCTTAAATTGGCTATTTAAATAATTTCTGTGTGTATAACTTGACACAGTGTATATTAAAAATTCCAAATGGATGTTGGGTATTCAAGACGTTGTCGGCATGTCAAGTTGGTCCTTGGACAATGACAACGCGTTGGGACGCCTTTGATAATGCTAAATTCCGGTCTTTATCTGCATGCCCAATCTCCAGCTGTATTTTCTCTTTTCTTTGGCATTTTTACGGCAGCAAAGTGAGAAACGTTGGGCACTCAACAAGCACAAACTTATCTGCCGAAAAAAACATTTGAATAAAATATAAGGCGAGAAAAGTTGAATGTAATGTAAAAGCCACAGCAGCAGCAGCAGCAGCAGAAAGCGTTGCCAAAATTGAAATTTTGGTTTGGCTTTTTGTACACCCTTTACGAAGTGCATATGCGTAAAGTCATAAATCAAAAGCATTTGTCATGATTGTTTAAATGGCAAATAAAATGGATTTATTGTTATTTTGAAAGCCATGTAAAATGTGTGTAAGACTCAACAAGGCATTACCTTTTACAGCTGCTAGCTTTGCGAAAAATGCTAGCTATTTGAATGGATACACTTAAATATGTGTCCAAATTCAGTGGATTTGCTTAAGCATAGCTATGTATATTTCGTAAATTAATTCTGCTCATAAGATTGTAAAATTATTATGCTTAAATATAAATAAATACAACAATATTATTTTTTATCTAGTTTAGGGTATGCAATATTCTTTATATAGTTATTCGTTTTGTATGCTTATTATTTGCGCCTGCTGTGCTGGTCGAAACACAGACCAGCACACTCATTTACAGTTATACTATATTAACATTTTTAATATGCCTCCAAAGGGAAACCGGCAAAAAGCAACAGACTAAAATGTGGGGAACTGTAGAAATGGGCAATTTAAAATTGTTGGCTCAATTGTAGGCAGCTGGCCAAATTATGCGTAATATGTATGTGCTCTGTATAAATGGCGCACCCTATTCGTAGCTCGTTTCGTAATAATGGATAAAAAAAATGTGTAATAACATTTTGTAATTGGGATGGAAGAGAAATGCTCTGCTTGGATTTCTGAAATTCTTTCATTAAGCCAAAAATAATCGTGGCATACTTCGAGGCGCAAGCATTAAAATACTTAGAGTGACCATAATTCGTATTTAATGGGCATAGCAGAAAATGTATATAATTTTTAAGACAAATGCTCGGATATATCTTGACGCGGCTTTAGATAGCGTCAAGCGACTTTTTTTGTCTCATACCACATAAATCTTATGCCCAACTCCCAATGTAAAATGTTTATTAAAATATATATATTAGAAGTGTGGGCAACGTGAATAAAGATGTTCTCAGATATTCACAAGCCTTAAAATTACACACCAAAATGCTGCATAAGCTGTGAGAATGAGAAATAATCGCACATTTAATATTAAATTTGATGAGCACTTTGTAAATGGATTTTGGGTAGGTGATTGGCAAACTTAGTCAACTTATAACAACTGCCATCCATCAGCATCAGTCAGCTTCAAGACACTGCTTATCTATTGTTGGTGTGGCTGTTGCCATGGATCAAATTGATATTATTCGTCAATAATTTTTGGTGTCACATGAAACGACAAAATGACAAAATATGCGTTCCGGCTGCTTCAATATTGTATGTACAAGCATACTAAACAAGTAACAAAACAGTTAAGCTTGAGAGTGGATAACCAAAGCCATCCAGGGGTGAAATATACACAGATTCGTACACGCATATATATTATATATATGCATATATATGCATGTATCCATACATATTCTGTTTTTGCTTTAAGCCAGAGTTGGCTGTACTTCATGTACAATATAAATATTGGTTTCTTAAATAAGTTATGTACTTTTCAGTAACTGGTAGCTGAACGTGCTCAATATTTTTTCGTAGTCAGAATATTTTTCTATGTTCTGTGAAACACGTCCCTTTGTAAAAATGGCTCACCAAATTTGTCATTTATATGAGAATTTATGTTGCAAATTTCAAGTCTCGAGTTCTGAGATCGGCAGACAGACAGACAGGCTTGGATAAATCGACTTGGCAGTTGATGCTAATCAAGAATGCAGGCCATTCATGGCGTCGGAGATGCTTTATTCTGCCAGTAACATACTTTTATTAATTAATTTAATTTAATGTAAATATTTAAAGTCTTTAAATGTGCTTGGTGCTCACTAAAGTCTGGTGAGCTTGCTTAAAATATTTTAATGATTTGTTTGTTGAAAATGATTGAAGCAACTGCTCCCAAAAACCAAACAGATATAATTTGTTTGAGTTTTTCATCATCGATTTTCATTAATTCAACATTAAAGTAATATTAAATTATCTTACAGAGCCATACAAATTACACGATTATTAAATGCACTGCACTTATAATCATCAGAGAACTGCGATTGTTTTCTCTTGTAATTTGTACTGAGTGTATGCAAATTAAAAAGCTTACCTCGATGCCGGAAATTACATAACGTAAATTGCATGCATACCAAAAAAAAAAAAAAAAAAATCATATTTTCATATTAAAGTGAGCGGACCTTGTATGCTTGTCTCCCTATCTGGATGTCCTTCATCTGGGCGAGGTGCCGGCTGAGCAAACAGCCCGCAAATGCCAGACTAATTAGTGCAATATATAAATTATTTACAATTAGTGGTGGCAAAATGGACGAAGAGAGACAGATTACGCTAATTCCTAAAGGGAAGCTTTACAAATATTTTCATTGTTGGCGAATTTGGCTATAATAAGTAATTATAAAATAATTATTAAAAATGATTTATAATATTTTCCAGCATGTCATTACTTATATATTTAGCTACTTACGTTGCTTTCAAAGTGTCAGTTTATCATGTAATACTGTGAGAAATGGGTTTGAATAATAATTTTGAATCTTAAAATGTTTGCTTAGCTTTATGTATATTTAAAATTAATTTTAGCATCGTCTGTTAAGTATGGTGAACTTTTGCAATTGTTATTTTCTTATTTTTGTTATATTGTAAGGGACTGCAATTAAATATAAGAAAATTTAATAAAAACAAATTGAGACTATATGAGTTTAAATATTTTATTTATCTATATTAATTCCAGGAATTTTTAATTATGTAAGAGCAAATACTTGATTGCTTAAAGATCGTATTGCAGGGAAGAAAAGCAATTAATTTATTCAAGGAATTTAAATTCAGGGTTGAAAGTTGGACATAGCAGACTGCGCAATACTCTTCTAATCTTCGTGGGATTATAGCGGTTCATTGGTGGAACTGAGACTTATTGAGAATGATGCTTAAACTTTTTTGAAAAGTTATCAGTAGTTAAATTGTGCTCAAGGTGCAAAAATGTTTTAAGACTGTGGACATTATCATTACAAATGTGGAAAAAATATAGTTACATAAAAAAATTAAATTAACGGAAAAATCTAAAAATTAAAAATTGTTTAACGCTAGTAACTTAGTAATAAGGAAAGTAAAACATTAAGAATAAAAGAAGATAGGCAAATCTGGGAGCTTGTGGATTAAGATAAATTTATCACAGTATAACAGAGTATTTCCAAATTGTCAAGTTCACAATTGGGCGTGGTCCCGTAATCGTTACACTTTGTGAATGTATACAAATAAGTACTCAAAATCGACACTTTTCCAAAGTGCTGTCAGAGAATAATTAAAAAAATGTGCAAAAGAAACCCTTTAAATTACCGCTCTTTCATTAACTGAAAAGGTTACGCATTTTTGGCCCTCCATTTGGCTGATTTACAGGTTGCCAAACCGACCTGCCCCGTGCGACATTTTGCAGCTTCCTTGGTAGACAGTTTTCAATTATCCGGCAACTACGCAAAAGCACGCACAGCTCAACATTTATGTGTGTGTGTGTGTATGTGTGTATGTGTGTGGATGCCTGTGTGTTTGTTACGGACTTTTGTGAGTTGATGCTCATCAATGAATGTTGAGTAACTTTTGCTCGTAATGTCCGGGGTTAACTGGTCCTCCAACTGCGACACCCATCGAAGGGACTCAACTTTGAAGCACGCTTGTATTTGACACTCATGAATGACAGAACAAGTGCTAGTGTGGACTATTAAATACCCTGAGTGTGCTAAAGGATAGGGGCGTAATTAAGATAAACCTTATTGACTATTTGGAGACTGTACTTCAAAAAATTTGCAAGATATATTTTCTTAAGTTTATTTTTGTTTCATAAAAAACGCCCTTTGTCACCCGATTACAGAGTATGTGATTTACTTGTATGATAATGTTGACTTCTGGAAAATGGCTATGGGAGCACATTGTGCTTGTTGGCAGTCAGTAAATGTGTTACTCAGACAGCTTGGTTAGCAAAACAGGACTTAATCAGATTCACAATGGCAATGAAACGGCATCAGAGGATAGTCACCCAAAGGACAGACTGAATGGCTGTCAGAGACAGCAATTTAAATGGAAACATCACTTGGTCCACCTTTACTTTTATTCATCTTCCTCATTTTCATTTTGGCTACTCCATTTAATTTGAATTAAACTCAATTTGCTCACAATGCGCAGTTGTTCCACTATATTCTGTGTACTCTGCGGAAATTCATCATTTCTATAATATTCTCATTTATAAGCATTATAGTCGGCGGTTTTCCCTTATTAAATTGAGTCAGCAGTTTTTTAATTAACTCATTGTGTCTTAAGGCGTTGTGATTTTAATTAAAACGCAAGTTGTGAACATATAAAGTGCTTGTGTCATACAACAAACTGTGTCTGCCACATATGGAGATCAGAAGAAATGGGTAATTATGTACATTATTATATCAAATAGATTACGGAGAACTGTATGTATATGAATGGATGAGGTTAGGCATATGCTGAAGATGCTCAGACTCTTGACTTTCAAATTAATTCATATATATTTAATTTTCTTATTTTAATTAACACACATTCAAGTTGTACAAATTGCTCATCACTAAATTGTAAAGTCAAGTTGAGAAAGTTAATAGGCCTCATTAGCCAAAAATTGCCAAGCCAACAATTTTCAACAACTCGTGGCAAAGTTGAAGCTTGGCAAAAGTTCATTAAAACATTTCACAATAAAATTTTAATGCACATTCAACCCTTTAAGAATACTTTTTAACTACAATTTTTTTTCACTTTTATTTTGTGCTTGGCAAGTGTTAAGTGTAATCTGTAAAATGCTTTGCATCCTTAATGTAGTTTATTCTTCAACTTTTATTTTTCTTTGCTTGCTATTGTCTGCGGTTTTTCCACTAGTTTCCTTGTGAGTGGGTGCCCAGAAACATTGGGCACTTAATTAGCTAATGGCTCTAACATCGCCTGCCATTTGCGAAACGTGGCCAAGATTGTGGTCCGTTGCAGACAACCCAATTTCGTCGTTGCGTGTCGACAAATTGGCCTTGATTGGCTTGCAGCATGTCAGCGGGCTTTAATCATTTGAGCTACCCACATTTTTTGTTCTGCAACATTTTCTATGCATTTTGCATGTCTGCCAACCAAGCGCTTCTTTGTGTTATTTTAATATATTTTTTTGAGCACGTCGCAACCACAAGGTTCGAACTCAGCCAGTGGGGCGTTGACAAGAGCTGCGCTAGAATTCTGTGGTTATATATAGCGCATAAATCGAAATGCCAACCTTGTCGAAAAGGTTTTTTGGTTTTTTAATGAATTTATTGTTAAATTTGCATAGCATAAGGTGTCAAAGGAAAAACGTAGAATAGAACATATTTTTAAGGAATAGATTTGACTGAATATAAAGCCAAGTGCAAAGCAGATGCTGAACTAGACAGAAGATGTTAACTTTGATTCAGAGAATACATTTTTTAATATTAATTACAGGCTGGATAGATTTACTATCGTTTTTTTCTTCCTTAAAATATAATTCCTTCTTAAACGTCCTTTAAAAGTATAAATCATTTCTCTATTTTGTAAGGATGGCGTGCTGAGAGTGTTATATTTAACAACTTACATGTGTTCGACTGTTGTTAAGGCACGTGTTATCCCAAACCAGTTTTATGGAAGTTTTCAATCCAATCAGGGTAAATAAATAAATAAAAAAAAATGTAGAAATTCATTCACTTTTTACCGAGAAATAAACGTTTTAAATTAATGTTTTTTTAGACTCAGAAAAGCAACATTGAAGGCATTTTCTGACAGAATTTGCAGCGCTGGCTTGAAGAATATGAATTCTCAAGAAATACACTCACACTTGTGCAACACCTTCCATTGAAAGAGCTGTGAAAAGCAGCAGGAGGTTGGGGCAAGAAAATCGTTAACAAAAGATATGAAAGCATGCAGAACACAAAGTCTTTAAACAAAAAACAAAAATGTTGCCCGAACCCCTTGGTCCATCTGTGTGGTCCACAAGAATGCCGGGCAGACAGGCATCTGTTGGCTAACACGATGACAAGGAGACAGGCAGCAGCAACACAATGGACCAACAATTTAATGGCTTATATAAATTTGCATTTGAATTGTTTTTTTGAAAGCGGCCTTTGATGCGTGGCCGCATAAACAATTCGCTTGTGTCCGTTATTGTCTATTGGTTGCTCTTTTGGTTTTTATCTAAATGTTAAATGGTCAACAGTGCGTATGATGTACACATTAAATGCATTTTCTTTTGGATTTATGACGAGTGCCCTAATAAAATCATATCAAAACTAAATGCCCTGACTTCGTTGTCCCACTAGTGCCACAGTGCTGTCCGATTTGTAACTCACAGTTGTTTTTATGTGCCAGCATCTATCAAATTGTCAAATGAGCTGTCCGCAGCCGGACACTTGGTTGGATCATCGCATATGGTATATGAAGCGCATGCAATGGCATACGCTTGTAGAGTGACGTACAGAGGAGAGGTGGACAGGACAGAACAACACAGGACAGCACAGGACAGCACAGGACAGTACAGGAGAGGATGGGATGGGACAGTCAGGTCATGTGTTACCCGTTTTTGCATGCCAACCCAACCGGACACTACGCGCATCAATCAAAAGTATGTCGCCAGTGCCTTTGTGCAATCAGGAAATGGATTACGTGAAATGAATGCCAGTTGTTTTGGGTCCTTGGACAATACAAAAGATTCCCTTGATCCTGCCCAAAAGCGGTTATTTGCTTATGCCCGGAATTGTGGACAAGAAATGTTATAATAATGTCAAATCAAATCCTAAAGCAATATGGATTTGTTTTTCTTCCGTTTGTTCAACAGGATATGAACAAATAACTTAATTAAGTCATTTTACAACAACTTTTTCCCTTCACTGAAATGTGACCCTAAGCAAACACAATTTAAATTGTGTATATATGTGTAAAAATAAACGATGAAAATCCAGTGTGGTTATCAGTATCAATAAGCTCATTTGAAATGTAATGCTCATTGAAATGGAAAAACAATGCCACAAAATTAAGTGACAACATGATCTAGATTCAATTTTATTTCATTTCCTTTAAATTTGCATATTTATTTAAAATGGTACACTTTAATTTAGTGTTAAGCAGCGAGTTTATTATCGAGCTAAATTCGAACAGAAAGTAATTGCAAATAACCAATAAATCAATGGAAAATGTCAATAAGAGACTAATAAACTCAAAAGATTTGATTGTCTCGACCATTGTTTAATCTTACCTTGCAAACTTATTTGAATACGTAATTTTGAGTGGAAACCAAAAATTTGTGTATTTGTGTCGCGTAGAGGAATAGCCTCAAGTGCCAAAAAAGTTTTCACGCCGATTTCGCACCGCCACAGCTACAAACAAAAAAAGCAGCTTTGCGCCGATAAGTTTATGAAGTCAATCAAGTTTTAATGAGGGGGACACTTGTCGCCCAGCTCGCCTTGTTGAATAACTTATCAAATGCCCGCAGGGGCATTAAATATTTGTTGTGCTCTTCTTCTTTCTCTCCTTCTTCTACCACTTCTTCTTCTTTATTGTGTCTCTTTGTCTTTGTGTATTGATTTAGGCGCTTTTTGGGTAGAGTACTTTCGATCCCAGACCATAATTTGAATAACGGTTCGCTGCACTTGTTATATACTTTGTCTTTAATTGCGTCGAATTTGAATAAACAAAGAGTTGTCCATCCAAATAAAATAAAGTTTGGTTCCTTTTCGGTTTACATATATTTATTCGGGGAATTTAAAAATACATGTTTCTTTCTGTTTCTCATATATATATATATATATATATTTTTCATATGCATTCATTTTTATACATAAATAGTTTTCAGTTTGGTTTACACATATGCATTTTATGATATGAATTCATTTTTGGGTTGTGTTTTCTTTTAGCTCTTTACATGTACACTCTAAATGTGTACATATACACATTTATTTGATCGTTATGCATACAGTTGCATATATAGTATATTTGAATTTGTTTTAAGACCTTTGCTAGAGGTCTGCACTTAAACTCTAAAAATAGTACAATATGCTGGATCGAAAAGAAATTCATTCAACTTAATTTTCGGTTCAGGTTTTTTTTTTGTGAGGGGTCGCATTTCTCATTGTTTGCGGACTTTGCTTGTCAGCTGGCTTAATTTATTTTTATTACGGCCAAATTCGCTCCGGTACACTCCCGGCCATCTCGGCGCACGGCATTCTTTCGGCATTTACAGTCCTTACAATCGACGCCGTACAATGCCAGCTCTCAAAGGCTTTGCCTTTTGACTGCAACACAACAAAAGAAATTCATTCGACCGATAATTTTATTTTTCTTATTATTTTTCGTGTGAGAAGTGAGAGATGGGATAGTGATGATTTTTTTAATTATTTATGGTCAGGTACCGTAATTAAAAGATTTTCATTTAAATTAAATATAGAATTTTGTAGCATTTGTGCTCAAACTTTTAAGAAATAAACAGCCTAAATTATTGTTAAATCATATGAAAGAATAGAACAAATAAGTAAATTGGTCTATATTAAATTTGTTCTTTATAACTTTTGATTCGTGTTACAATTGAAAACACACAACAAAAAAAAAAAAAAAGAAGAAAACGCTCAACTTTAAGCTTAAGGAACAGCAAATAATGTGAGAACTGTGCTGTTGGAAAATGTGGTGGGCAGCAAAAACTCATATTAAGTATACGTACCATCACACGCTTTACTTTTGACGGCAACAGCTGCTGTGGTGCTCAACAGAGGAGCAGCTGTCGCTGCTGTAGGATGTTTACAACAACCTTTCGAGGTCCTCGCTTTCCGCATCGCTTATGTAAGAGTCGGTGTCCGTGAAATAATCATCGTCGCAGCGATTGCGACGGCAGCAAACACGTCTACCAATTTCATCATCACTCCAGTGCTCGAATTCCTCCTTATGGTGCTCCAGCAGCATTAGCGACGGGAACAAACTATCGCAGCCGCTGCAGCTACAAAAATAACAACGACACAAAAGCAACAGTAACAATTGAGTTAGCTGAGACAGCTGGCAAATTCGTTTGATTTGATTACCCAAAGTGTCGCTTCTTCTGCTGATGCGAGGCCAACTGCCGATGACAATGGAAGGAGCGATCACAAACATTGCAGGTAAGCGATTCGTCTGTAAGTTGAAACCGGTAAGCAAATATAAACTTCTGTTTAATATTATATTCTATATAGAAGTGTATACTATACAAAATATGTAATTTATTTAAACAAATATCAGAAAAATAAAATTTAAAAATACATTCGTAAATAACACATGTTGAATACTAATTTTTAAAAATTCTGATTGCAAAATATGTCTTGTAATATTTGCTTTTGGCAAAGCTTTTTTAGCAATTTAGATACAGCTTAGTTCTGGAAATGCTCCATTTCAATAGCAGCTATATATATGTATGATCTGACTTATAGTTTGATTCTATTATGCCTATCATTTCTTGCATTCACATTTTCGACAGACATTCAACAATGATAGAAATGTTGGTAGTGGAATTAGTTAGAAAATATCTAACTTATGTTGTCGAAATTGTATGTGTCATGACAAAATAATTACAAGGTCTGCAACTAAACAGAGACCATCTCCACATGCAGCTCTACTCCTTTGGCTAATCAGCTGTGGCAACCAAATATAAAAACAGCAATGTAAGCTATGTTAGCTGAAAGTGTTTTATGCCACTCACCGTAGTCATCGTCATCGTCGGCCATGGCCAATGCGTGAAGTCGGCTTATTGTGCTTTCGTTAATCTGCTTGCTGGATGCGGACATGGACATGGACATGGCAGCCGCTGACAGGTCCTTTGATGATTTGCCTTTGGCCTGACACAAGCCTAGCTCGCACAGAGCGCTCTCCACCACAAAGTTGCCCTGACAATCCGCGTTCGTACACGGCAATAGCTCCAGGTTGGCCTTCTCATTGCCATTAGCCTCGTCATTGCCATTGCCATTGACATTGTTGCTGTTGCTGTTGCTATTGCCGTTGGTATTTGTGTTGCTGTTGTGGTTGTGGTGACTGCCGCCGGTATTGCTGCTGCTGCTGCCAGGTGCCAGCATTTCAAAATCGTCGAGCTCATCGAAAGGATCATCGATTTTATGGCCAAAAGACACGACATCGTCTGCCTCAGCGCTTAACCTTCCATATGCCTTGCGTGGCGGTCGCTTCACGTATTTATCTGCAGAAATATAACAAAGAAGTATTCCATTAGTTTTTGCAACAACATTCTGGCGCCACTGTCCCAACCTGCAATCTTTGCTAGTCACGACAAAACTTTTTTTTTTTGTTATAGTTGCCCACATGCAACATTAAAAATTGTTTCCGATTTATTTTTAGGTTCATACTGCAGCTAACAATATATGAGCATCGTTTTGTTTTTGGCTTCGGCTTTTGTTTCGCTCTCAGGTTTTGTCCTCCGTATCCTTTCCGGTCAGCACAAAAGTTTTTGTCCCCTGTCCCATAGCCGTGAAGTGATAAAATGAGATTTATTGGGCCCATTGTCTGAGTGAATGTATGGGTGTGCGTGTGTATTTCCTTATGCTAAGGATTACAATATATAGTGGCGACCTATAAAATTATATCAAGGTTTTATTGAAAGGTCCCATATTTATGGCGGCCAGCCCACATTTATTTGGTTTTTTCAGATATAGATTTAAATAGCTGAAAGGTGAACATGGGGTATACGCAATAAAATATTCTGAACATTTACTGTTGTGCTTGTAAAACAAAATAAAGAAATAATGGTATTTATAGCAACTTAATTTGCATATTATTTTGTTTTCTATGACTATCATCATTTTGTATTTATTTTAAATTACAATATACAAATATTGTGTTTAATGTTGAAGTTGCTGCTAGACAAGTCTTCATATTTCGCAGAATTTTTCAAAGGTTAGCAATGAAATTGCTTGAATTTTTGCTCCCATGCAAATACTGGAAAAACTAATTGATATTTTCTATCTTCCAACTTGAATAAAATAATAATTATGCATTTAAGAAACAACAATGGAAACTTCAAAGGTAAAACTCCTTTAGCTATATTTTAAGGAGTAGCAATGAACTCAACTGAAATGTTAAAGTCCGTAGCAAATACATTTTATGCCGGAAATTAAATCTGTTTGGGTTCTGCGACAACGATGGTAATTTTGAAGCGAAATAAAAGTCAATCAAAAACCCCTTTTGACTTTAATGACACTCTTGAGACTCTTACATTAAATACTTAGCGAATATTGACAAATGAATACACGCAATTAATTATATTGAAGAAAATATGAAAGATATATGCTGCGAGAACTTTTTGTTTTGGACACGTCCCACAAATCTGGTTGACTAACAAGTTCACATAAAAAGACGTAAATTCAAAACTTTGTGAATGCAAATATAGCAAAACTTAAAAACTGTTCGGGAAAATCTCGTCACTACTACCTAGGTTGATGAACTAAGTAAAATGTCAAAAGTTTATGCCATGAATTTTGTTGCGGTCCAAAGTAAACGCAAAACAAATAGAGGCAAGCATGCATATTAAAAAGCGTGGCATGTAAACACCAACACACGCATGTAGGCACACACACACCGACATACACACACACACACACACACACACTGACTACACACGCACACATAGGCAGACAGCAGGTACTGTAAGCTGGTGGCAAATGCAAAAATTGTTTATGCAGCTGTGAATAAACGCGTTAGTCCGTGAAGCCAAAAGAACTACATTTTATTACTAAAATGTGTGTATGTGTGTGTGTGCGTGCAACGTGCTAAAAAGGAATGCAAGAGCAAGTTTTGCGACGAAGCATTTAACGGTATTTTCACAGTAGGTATGTATGTGGCTGGTGTGTGTTGTGTGTGAGTGTGTGCGTGCATGTAGAACTATTGCCGCTGGCATTTCCTATCCTCAGATTGAAATTTATGACACAAATGGCAGGGTGAATAAGGACAAATAGGAGAAAGTTGTACGGAGCCCGCGAATAGTTGGCCTTTTAGCTTGCACGCGTTCACATTTTATTGGGACTGACATGTGAGTATCCCAAAACAGGACGCACAGATACAGTGTTTTTTGAATATAGTTCGAATTTCGTATTACAGCACAAATTATTACAAATGATGCTCTGGCAACTGACAGCTTGTTGGGTTACCAAACATAAATCATGGCCAAACGGAAACAAACAAAAAAACAAAAAAAAAAAAAAAAAAAACAAAAACAGAAGCTTAGCCGGAGGCGTTATTAATACGCCCGATAAACGCCCAATAATTTGTCATGGTGTGTGAAATACTCGCATTACTTCAAAAACCAAACAATAGATCTAATAATGCGATAGGAGAAAGTTTTTGACCAGCAGTTACCCTGTATATATTATGCACGAAATACATGATATGGCATATGCTTTATAAAGTTGGCAATTCTGTGGTAGAACAGTTATTGTATTAATATAATACTTTTTTTTAGCTTCTGCAGTTGGGCTAGCTTTTTTAAACATTTAAAGGAGGATTTCTAAGTTTTTGAGGTTGATTTGTTGGGCATCGTAGTATTTACTTTAATTCCCAAGCCTACATCTAGTTTTTGTGTAAATTTTGTGTAGCTTTACTACTATCTTAAATTCAAAGACCAGTTGTCTTCTCTTCTCCAGCTCTGTGTTTATAGGCAAACATTTTTGAATATTATTTACTGCGTTAATACATTTTTATGACAAATAAGCGGCAAATATTTTATATATTTTATTTTATTAAGTATTTGATGTCAATTTTCTTGGAATTGGTGGAACTTTTTCAAAAGTCTACTTTCGGTTGTTGATTTTTGTATTTTATCTACATTAGATTATTTTTATTTAAGGCAATTGGGTATACAAAATTGTGGTGCTAAATAATTTATGGTTGTATTAGGCTCTCTGTTTCGCGCTCGCTGTTCACCGGTTTCTTCCCTTGCTCCTTTCACTGCTCCATTCACTGCTCCTACACATCCGCTCCCCTATTCTGCTGCTGCTCATTTGTTCAATTAATGGTATCTGCTGGCAAAGTTCGCCAAATTAGCTGCCAATGAAAACAAAAAGTCGAATGGCCTTCAAAACTTGTCAGGTTTTGGTGCGTATTCCATAACTAATTGGCTTATACACACGCACACGCACTCATACACACACGCACACACACACACACTCATACATACACACACACACACACACACACACGCACAAGTACACTCACATACACATAGAGAGCGTAAATGTGCGTATAATTGCTTTTGTTGCTTAACAGTTCACCGTAAATTGAATGCAGTCCACATATTTGTATGCATGGGGAATATGGGGACATTAATATCAATGACAAATGGATGTCATAATTATCGGTTAATGCCGCTGACATATGTTCACCCGCATTTGCATAATAAATGACCAGCTTATGAGCGTGCGTGTTTGTGTGCATGTAGCACATATGTTTGTTCATTTGGTCGAAAGACCGCATCATAAAACTTGCATATAATTGAATTTTTTCTCTGGCGTTAAAAATAATACCGCAAAACAAAAATAGTGACAGAAATATTTTATATTCGATTGGTTTCGTGGTATGCTACATTTAATATTCGAAAATTAAATTGAATATTATTTTTTTGTTTGTTTGTGTAAAATATATCAATTTCAGGTTTCGGCTTTAGATATATGTTTGTATATTCATTTATATTTCATAAGTAATTAGATATTGGCTATTTATTTTTTTTTAGTTTAGTTATTTTTTTATTAAGAGCTTTGCGTTTACACATGCCAATTAATTATTGAAGTAATCGATAAACCAATTATAGTGCGTTTTCATGAATTCTTTATAGCAATATTGACATTTAATTGGAAACACAAACAATAAATTGCTCAAATGCATTGGATTTAAAATGTTTGCTTTTAATTTGCTGCTGAATTATATCATTAATATGCACATCAATTGAAAATACTGATATATGAGAATATGCAAATTTCATAGGATATGCAAACATTTGCTTTATTTCTGATATTAATTCTGTTAAAGATCAATTGTGTGTTTGTATGCTAACGAAGATAAATTTCCGGGTAATAATCAATTATAAATGCAGCAAAGAGATGGAGTCACTTTCGCAATATTAATATTGACTCTTTCAATGTTTAAAATATATTGGGTTTAATTTGGTAAACTTTATGTTCGCCTATTGTGGTTTAATAATTTCATTCCATTTGACTTATCTTAATAATAGATTAGTTTAATTAATACAAGAAATTCAATCACTCCTCTATCCCAAATTTTTATTCGTAATTTTGTAATGCTAAAAATTCATTGAATAACTGTTTATTGATCTTGACTAATATCAGCCAAACAGAAAAAAGGTAAAAAAGAAAAGAAATTGAAAATAAAATATAATATTTAACTGCAATTTTCTCAATTTATTTCAAACAACTCAATAATAAAAAATCTTTCAGTCAAATACTCCACTGCAGTCATACCGAATTTAGGAATTGGGTTAATTATATCTCAATAGTAAATAAGTTGAGCCAGCAACTCTCACTTTAATCCCAGATTTTTATTTGAAATTTTGTAAAGCTAATTATTCATTGAATAATTGAAGAGCTGAAGAAAAGCATTTGAAATCTTAATAAATTTTATTTGAAATTTTATGAAGTTAAAAAATCATTAAATAATTGTTGCACATTTAATTTTCAAAGCACTCAAGAACTGAACAATCTTGAAGAAAGCCATTCCATTTCAATCATACAAGATATATAAATCGGTATTTTTTTTGTAAGTTCATAAGTAACAGTAATTGTTACGAACAACAGCCATTTAAGGATTTATTGTGAGTTTCCGCTTTGTGCTGTGTTCTCGAGCTTTATTACGCGTTTTGTGTATCTGAGTTGGTGCGAGGCTTAGCGCTTAGACGATGGCATCTTGTGACTACGCCTGAAGTGTTTCTTTTTTTCTTCGACAGTCGTATCCGTTTGACACCCTGCCACAACAACTCCAACATGCCACAACAACCATACACTGTTTCAGACACAACCATAAGGAGCAGCTTATTATTAAGAGGAGGTTTTCTTTGCCGTATTTCTTTTGCTTCACAACGTCCAAGCTTACATTTTTCCATTCTGGCAACGGCAGCTCTCTCGCCATATGCCAGAGGATCTTGTGCAAACAATAGGTACAAGTGTTTATTTAAGCACAATTCGCTACACACGCATGTGTGTGTGTGTGTGCATTGCTGTGTATTTCGCAAGTCATTGCAGGAATTTTAATTAACTTAGTTTAATACGTTTGGGGCTTATGAGTTTAAGCTGCGGCATCATTCAGCACTTCAGTTGCGAACTGTTTTTCTTTCATTTGTTTTTAGTAACAATGCCAGTTAAAGACAAGTAAGCCACTAAAACGTTGAAATGTTTTCAGGGTTATTAGGAAAGACTGAAAGTATATGTGTGGAAATTCCGATTATTGCAGCTGTTCTGGAAGTTTTTTGATCAAAATCAACACAAATGTTAAAATAATGAAAATTAATTTCCAATTGTCTACTTAAAGTTCACAGCTTGTGCTAATGGCAGTTGTTTTTGAATTATTTGTATTAAAATGTGAAAACGATTAGTAAATTTGCATTAAGCTGAAAGTTTATTTTTTGAATAGTTTACTGAAACTTTTACTGGCTACTCTGTTTTCAATGCTTCTAGTATTGTACTGGAAAACAAGTTTCCTAAAATTGCAACAAAATGAGAGTAAGAGATAAGACCTTGTTAAAGTTGAAAATGTATGTAAGTTAGCTTATATACACTTTTCAGGCATTCTTTTAAAGCTATACTGTACTTAATACATGTTATGCTGCCCATATCCCATTTTGAAACTATTGAAACCTATTTGTAAATGTAATGGGGAGTAAAATGTTTATAGCAAATACGTGTTGGGTTTTGTTAAGGTGTTGGGGTTTCCTTTTTTATAGGTTGTTATGGTTTTTATATTTTTTAGAATTAAGAATGCTGAAATAAATACACCTAATGGTAACACCTGAAAGTAATGTATTATGAATGAATATTGTATCTGTCTTGGAATGTTTGTTAAGACTTTCAGGTCTCCAATTCTAGCACACATAATAACTTGTAAGTCCTTTGTTCTTGTCCCATTGTGCCTTTAAGCTTTACTTGAATATATTTATATATTATGTTCAGACATTTTTGCGTTTACAGAGATTAGTTAAATACATAATCCAACTGATTAGCAATTTTCCTTAATCCCACACTCAACAAAAGAACGGAGTACATAATGCTTAGTGCCCATGCTACAATTGGTTTGGCTAGAAGGCATCTGGTTGGTATTTGGTTTCAGGTTCGTATTGTGTCTAAGATGGTGCCTCTGATTGCAGAGTCCGAGCGTTAATTAGAGCACATATATGTATCTATGTATGGATGTGAATATCTCAGTGCTGAGTCATGTTTCACTAATTAGACGACGAGTCCAATCAATTAGAGAGGGGTCCCGAAATCGAATAGTATAATTGCCACCTGGACCGTACATTATTCCACAACTGGTTAGCAGCTTACCCTGTGTACTGTTATTGTGGTTGCCACCGCCGGTGGCGCCACCATTTCCATTTCCCTTGCTGCTGAAGCTGCAGTTGTTGTTGAACGAGTTGAAAAAATTGGCAGCGCCCGTGCGACGTAAAATCCAAAACATATTTCAAATTTTCTGTTGCTGTTGCTGTTGTTGTTGTTGTTTGATATGTTGCACTAAAAAGTATGCTACGAACTATGCGAAACGTAGCGACGGCATTTCAAATACCGCGTCTGATAGGCGCGCAACACTAACAACAAGAGATCGAGAGCGAGCGAGTGAGAGAGCGAGAGAGAGCGAGAACACGCGACAAGGATAACAAAATGATAGTCAACTGTTCAGCTGCTGGCAGCTGTTCCGTGGCGTCGCGTTGTCTGCAGCTAACTGACTGCCATACGAACTTCGACTGCCATTTTATACCCATAGCAGCTTTCGTCTGCTCTCTCGAAAATGGAAGAGAGCGCTTGTTAGCAAGAGAGCGAGCGAGCCTTGCTACGTTAAACGTTAAACGTTAGCGTAACGTAACGACAACAGCTGCAGCTGCTGTTCAATTTGCTGGCAACGTTTTCACTTGTATGCTAAATGCTGAACTTGACCTTCGACAACAATTGGCTGCATTTTGCTGTTGCTGCTGCCACTGGTCCTGCCGCTAGCAATCCAAAGAATGTCTTTTGCTGTGGCAAATACTTTTGTTGCGCTCTGCTTACATAACGGTTAATGGCGCCTTAAGCGCCAACTGTCTGAACAACTATTACAACAAATGCCCATCAATCATGTACCGGAAGTTGGGGGTCGACACTGCTGTCAAGCACACATTTAAAGCTGCCGCACGCACGTCTACACTCTCAATAATAAATGGCTTGTTATTAAGAAATATGTCAAAACGCACAATTGCCTTTTACTAAAAACTTCAGTTTTATTTATTATTCTACACATTTGCTTAATATTGAAGAATATATTTTCTAAGGTGCAGATTACTGAAATCTGATTTCTAAAAACACTTTGGCTAAAAATACAGTTCAATAGATGGATATTTTCTTTAATTTCTGTCTGTTAGTGTTTTGCTTTGAGTGTATGGTGTGCCACGCCCCAATTCGCGTAAAACTTAACTGCCTGCAGCAGTTGGTGCATGCAGCACTAGCAACGTGAAATGGCAACTTGAGCGCTTACATGAGCATATGCCATTAGGTTCAAGAGCAAGTGCAAGTACTTACACACACACACACACGCAGATACTTACACACACACACACACACACACAGATACTTACGCACACACACATAGATACTTACACAGAGGTTCTTGCCCTGGAAATTGTCGCGTTTTTGTGTTGCGTTCTGAAATTGCTTAAGCGTTTGCGACTTTTAATGCCATCGGACAAATTACAAAAGCAACCCCAACTACCACAAAATGCTTGGATAACTTTTATTCGCAGTTTGAACTACGCGATTTTGTTTGTATTTCCACGCCCAAATAGCACATCGTAACTTAATATTGAAAATGTAAGCAGTGTGCGGTTGACCGATGACTTTCTGTCATTTATAAACTGTGGAATAAGCCTTAAATAAAATTCTACAAATTGTGGCAACATTTTAAAATATTATTTAAAATTCTTTGAGATGAATTAGTTTCGAATCCGTACAGAAACTAATGATTTTCTTTTCGAAGTGAAAAGTTTTCTCCCTTGCTAAATTTTTAATTTAATTTTAGCAACGGGGTAAATGAACTTCTCCAAATGATTTATGAGTTATTACAGCCAATAACAACTTATGATAATATATTACTTATGTATCGCTGGCCCGTTTACAGTGGGATAATGTTAGTAAATATACAGTAATCTGTAACTACTATAAACAATTTGTATAATTTGAATGAATTTGTAGTGCATTTTCTGGAACTTCATAAATATATTGATTGTTTTACGATTGTGTTCAGTTGTTACGCAATTTTTAAACCAATTTGTGGGTATGCGAAAAGTTCTGTATAATAAACATTTGTACAATATTTATTAAATAAAATATGCTCATTTGATATTAAACCAATCAGGTGGCAATTAACAATTCAAATTGCCACAAATTGTGTGTCGAACTTTTGGCATCTGGTGCATTAAATATTCATTTAGTACGTGCCAAAGTCAAAGAGACAAGCGAAATGTAATCGATTTCAAATGAGGATTCGGGCAGTTGAACTTATGCTCTTGTTATGTATTTGCCATATGAATTATGTATGAAAATGGCTTCTGCATATCGGGTACATTCCAAAACAAAAACAGCAACAACCACATCCATCAAAGCAGCCAAAACTCTGTCTAAGCGTAATTAGATAAATTGACAGCCCAACTTGAAGGCGTTTTAGAGAGTTCAAATAGTGGATTAGGTTGCAGACAAAGTTGGCAACCAAATTGACAAGCTGAAGTAGACTACCAGACATTGATTGCCATCTAATTCAGTTAACTCTTGACCTTCCTCAGTATTTGTCAGCTTGTTTATTTATATAGATACAAAATGTAAGTGCTAATGGAATTCAGGCAAAGCAGAAAATATAGACTAACTGCTTCAAGATCACCTTACCAATTAGTTTTATTAGCTTAAGTAAGTAATATTCTTGAGGATAGGTAATCTTTAAAGCGTATTCTAAGTGCAAGAACCGATTGAATGATTAGTGAGATAACAGAGATTATAAGATTTAATTACTATATGGAACCAATAAAAAATTCTAATAAATAGTCAAAAAATAAAAGTTGCTGGAATACTATTGGAAAAATCGTAGTAATGTGATCATAATATTATCATATCATTATTAATATAGAAACTGTGAATATAAATATATGTTTCGATTTGTTATGTTCACATAATGTGAACTTTAATAAGTTTCGTTTAGCTTAAGCACTTCAGCACATTGAACAACTTTTACTTTTTCACAAGAAGGCAACTCTGGCAATTTCAAAATATAAGTATTTATGACTTGGCTCCAATAAAATGATTGCCCATTACTCGTATACGGAGTGGTTCCACATATCCCACATGGTAAGATATTTAACTGATAGATGTGCTGCATTAAAGTCATAATCATATAATATAATATTGTTGACTTCAGTCGATAAATGCATGACAGAGTTCTTCCGTTCCGAGTGCCCATTAAAATATGTCATAAGACTTCATGGTTTTTATAATAGGTCCAAATCACAATGCAAATAAGGATGTTCGAGTATGAAAATGGTCGACACACACGGGCAACACACATCAGTCGAGCAGTTTCAGTCATGAAGTGTGTTCGAGTACTTCTCTGGTGTTGCTGCATTTTGGCCATAGTTGTTGGTCAGTTGAAGCCCGTTGTGGAAAGTGAAGATGATAATGAGGCTATTCTCAAAATAATATCAAGGATAGATACTGTGATGCCCACCCAGAACATTATTACCTACCTTGTGGATCAGAACTCAAAGGTTAAAGGAACTTCAATCACAACTTCGCTTCAGCAACGATTGATGGAGACTTTTAATCGTCCGGTGATTGCGGCTGGAATTCATACTGGCTCACTTCGTAATATCATCCATGTTAATAATATGGCGGTTGTTTTTTTTACTGGCATGGATGATCCCAATCTAAATATGTTCCAGCAAACAGTAAATAATATTCAAACAGTTTTGAGCATATTTGTGTACAAGTCGGAAGATGATTCCCCATTTCCAAGTGATGAATTGGAAACATTTTTTATGTGGTGCGTGAATCACCAAATTTTTATAGCTTACCTCATCTTTAGGAACTACAGCAACTACGAGGTGAGGACATACCGCATGAAAACAACAGCAATTGTGTATAAATTTATAAACACATCCATGCCAGAACTCACTGATTTGAGGTACCGAAAACTGGGTAATATGTATAAGTTGATATATAAGGTTGCCGTTGCTCATAGCCTACCAGAAACACTTGTGGTAAGTTCTCATAATTACTGAGTTATAATACTGAGTTTATAGTACCATAACCAAATCTGCTTGTAGTTCAATACATCCGATGGCAATATTACTCTAGGCGGTCTCAATGGCATTCTTTTGACGGAATGTATGCATTTTTTTAATGGACGTATGGATATAGTGCATCTGTCATTTGACGACTATCAGAAAGAAATTCGTGAAGGCAATCGACAAATTGATGTTGGCGTCAACACGGTGGCCAATTCTTCGATCAGCCGATTTAGTCCACATGTGGAGTCAACACGATACTGCCTGATCCTGCCATTTGAGCGTTCCGTTGGTTTTCATGAGTACCCAAAATATTTCAATCGAACCCGGTCATTGCTAATATTTATGGTATTTTACTATGTCATCATTTCGGTGATTAGACGGATTTCAAGTCCACACACTCCACTGAGCGATGTGCTCTACAGGAACTTTCAGCTTGTGATTGGACAAACTCTGGCAAGCAGTGCGTTTCGACGTCTCCGTCTGTCAGAGAAGTACATCGAGATATTAATTCTCAACTACAATTTAGTGTGTGGTACCCTATTTGGTAGTTTTTTAACAATGGCTCTCATCACGGGACTGTATAAGCCAAAAATTATCGATGTCGACACGTTTCTGACCAGTGAAATGCGTATCATGGTTTACCCACAGCAGATGCAGTACATCTTTGATCACTTACCATCTGTGCTAGGCGATCGTGTCTTAATTGTGGACGAGCAGACAAGGGATCAGCATATTCTATCCCTCAATGATAGCTATGCGTATTTCATTGCCACCGACAAATGGGTGCTATTTGAATATATGCAAAGACGATTGCGTAAGCCCAAACTGTGTCTAGCTCCGGAAAGCTTATGTGGAGCTTATATGAATATGAGGTTTTATGTGAAACCAGGACGAATCTTACTTTATGTGCTGGAATACTTTGTGCAACAAGTACGGGAGGCAGGTCTTGCTAAAAAGTGGACGCAATTGGGACTGCGTCAGGCGCAGCAGGCCAATTTGATGGCTCAGGCCCCATACGATCCACCCATTCAGCAGCCCTTACCAATGGATTTCTATCAATACAGTTTCAGACTGTACGTAATAGGAATGTCACTGAGTCTGGTATCTTTCTTACTGGAACTCGCCATAAACCGCTGGAATAACCGAAATAACGCGAACATAATATAAGCATTATATTTTGAACAACATATATCAATTTTATTCAACATTTGTGTCACCTTGAAGCACTTTAATAAATCTCGCACTGCTAAAGCACCATAAAACACGAATGAATTATTCGAGATAGAGGAACTGATTTTACATAATAGTCGAAAATTCGCAGCTTTAACTATAACACTCAGTAGCTAGGGAAGCCCTTCCGATAAGTAAGAATGCTTTAAGGATATATCTTAAGCCCAGGTTTTTATCATCAATCAGGCGATTTTCTACTGTGATTCTTAGCAGATCTTGATTAATTCTTTTTAAATTATCAAGAAAGTTTGGCGGTCAGACGAATCGACTCAGTTGTGGATGCTGATATTGAATAAATATGCATATAAACTTTACGGGGTCAGAGTTGCTTCCTTTTGATTGCTTTGAAAGCCATTGTATGCATTTTTAAAGCGTTCAAGGCATTAAATTATACAAAATAAATATATCGATTGAGTTACGCGATTCCAGTACACTTTTATTTAGTAGTAGTTTGCTGTAGTATTTGATGGGCTTCACTTTAGAAGCTTGGCATAATGTTGCTTGTGTACAAACTTAATGCGCAATACGAAACTGCAAAATATATACGAAATTATTTAGCTACATTTTTTGCAATTTAAAGCGTTACTCACCCAATGGCCACAAAAGCTACAAAAAATAGAGCTGCGCTCAGAAAATTGAAGAGGCCAGGAAAAACAGACAAAGTGTGCTGATAGATCATAGTATAAAGCGGGGCGGCAACTATAAAAGAAAATATCAAAACTTATATCTGATTAAATGAAACCTAGAAGATTATTTACATACCAAAGGGCGCAAATGATTGCAAAACATTTTTTATGGAGAAAATTTTACCTGAAAAAATCGTATAATCGTATAATCATAACAATCATTATTAATATTTTTATATTCGTATACTTGCCCAGATCAGAGGCGGGCACTATATTCGAGACAATGGTGCGGCACATGGGACCACCGATGGAGTGGAATACCCCAAGTGCAACCGATAGATACATGTGCCAGGGCTGGGATGCAAAGCCCTTGGTCAAGTTACTCAATATTTCCGAGAGCAAAGATAAAAGAGCCAGCGTGACCACAGAGAGACCAAAAATCTATGTACAAACAAACAATGATTAATTAGGCACATTCTTTGGTGATTGTTAAGGATGGGTTTCTTATATATATACCCGATACCTTGCGCAGCATCAGAAAACCAATCAAAGCGCCCATCATGGGCACCATTTTGCTAGTCGTCTCAAAGAACGTAAACTCCCTCACGGACCAATGGAATTTTTGGCGTACAAACAAGTACATCACAGTCATCACACCATCTATAAAATATGCATATTTATTTTTATTAATTATAATCACTACGAAAAAGAGCTCACCTGTCACAAACATGGTCATGAACATGGCCAAGGTCACGAGCCAAATTATTTCGCGAGCATTATGTTCACGTGGCTTGCAGCAGGTTACAAACATGTCCTTCAAGTGCGTCAAGCTAAATATACTAATTTTTTCAGACTCCAATTCAGGTTCCGGCTCAGCTGTGGGTTGCTTTGTGTCTTTGGTCAAAGGATCTGGCAGTTTTGTCGGTTCTTTTTTTGCCTTCTCCTGCTGCTCCTCATTAATTTTGTATCCAAACATACCGCCATTATCCTTCCCATCCTTCTCAGTCACATCGAGTACCACTTTCTCCATCAGTTTCTGATCATCGTTTACCATATTTGGTGGGCAATCAATGGACATCGCTTTGACTTGCAGATCGCAGGCTGTAATGGGCATATCGTTCTCAGGCTTCTCAGGCTTCTCAGGCTTCTCAGCTATTTCCATCGCATCTTTGGCGTCCCTCGCATCCTTTGCGTCCTGTGCGAGGCGTATGTGCAAACTTTCTGGCATATAGCAAATGATGAATACTGTGGCTAATATCACACATGCCGCTGAAATACCCTGTGTCACCGCAGCACTTGTGGCTGCATATACATAACTAGATAACAAAGATCCACTGCTGACGGCAAAGAACATCAGCAGCTCTATTGCAATCATTCTGCAAGAGAGAAAACTTCAAGTCAAGAGCTTATACTAATTAACTAAACAATTAAAGCCCACCTGTATGGCCTTGTTTTAATATCAGTTACATCCGATATAAAGCAAAAGCCGGCCACCGCAAAGACGCACATGCCACCAAGCAGCGAGTGAGGCACTGCTGCCAATGTATACCACCATGGATTAATATCATTATAGCTGGATAGCGCACATATAATGGTTGATGTCACAGCCGAACCCGAAAAACCTGCAAAATAATTTACAGTCTAAGCAAATTGGAATCGCAATAGTCGAGAGAGTGCCTAACTGGGCAATAATCTGTGCTCGTGTTAAACAATATGTGCTCATTTTATTGTTTTCCTAAAGGTTTGTAAAAGTTTTAATGGGTCTTGAATTTCTCTAAATAATGATGTATTAAATTATTTTTAAAATTTAAGCTCATATTCTGTGTATGGTAAACACGCATTTATAATCCCATCAGTTTTTCATTCAAGCGCGATCAAACAGATCTGATCAAGATCGAATATGTTTCGCTCTGACTGTTAAATATACACAACTTATTTTGAATAGATTCAGTGTATTCAATTATACTTTCTGCCTACCAATCATTGAGACGACGAGCAGCGGTTTGCGTCCATATCGATCCGACCAGGAGCCAATGAAGAGGCCACAAATAGCTGGCACGATGCTCTCCATCAAGGTGCGAGTGAGAAACATGTCGGTCACATACGATTGCACCTCAGTTTCAATGGCCTGTAAGTCGATACAAAATTTAAATAATTTCCACACGTCACATATTTATTGCGGATGCATTTACATGGATTTCAGAGCTGGCATTTTTGTTGTCCAGCTGGCTGCAGTCGCTTTCATTGTAATGAAAAGCCACCGTGCATGCTTGAAAAATAATCTGATTGCGCATTACAGTGCCTGCAATACAATATTTAACATAAACTGTCCGAAATACGAGGTCATTTAAAAACCGAAATGTTTACCTGAGAGCATATGTGAAAATATCAGCATGAATACCACTGGTTCTATGTAAAACATATAGAATAATTTATGCACCGGCAGACTCTTCAGCTTATCCACAGCGTTGGAAATTGCAGATTTCTCAATCATTATTTTTTTTATAAATATTTATAAATCCCAAATTTGCATATGAATGGATTCTTAGTATTTATTCATATGTTTTATTTATATTATTATTTGTTATATATTCAATTATAGCTAACCATGCACGATTTTTTCACTCATCCGCACAATATTTATTTATTTTTGCTTATATCGCGCTTATTAAATGATTTAAAAGTATTAATTTAGTTGGCTTGTATAATTGGATCCGTCGCTACGATAATTTCATACACGTATTTAGTTTTCCAAAAACTGGCCTTGATATTATTCACTGAGGCGATACGAAAACCAAATCCGACAGCGGATCGTCAACTAGCTCAACGATCAAGTTGACTATGCTAAATGATCTGCTACCGGCAAATCTGTTCAGCTATATAGCGAAACTGGTTTTTGTTTAGTTGAAGTTTGCGACCTGAACTGCGCAACGCACGCTACTCTACTGGATATAGCTTATCACGATAGGTTAAATAATCAAACAATAGCCTAATACATAATATCAGAATAATATAGTATTGCGATGAACACAACAATTTGTGTGCTTTTCTAATTGTCTAAACACGTTTGGGTTATATGCTATGTGAACAGCAATTTAAATCGGACAAACACGTGAATCTGCCACGACAGATAACATGAATTTGGCTTTGATGGGCGCGTCGATAGGCGTTTCGATTGTCATACAGTAAAATGTACTTTTTATAATGTCAATTATTCACATCCATTAAGTATTCAAAAGTTCTAGTTACTCACAGCAAAACACCGAAAATAATTTGTAATAGTCGACACTTGTTTCTAACCACTTTATTTCGATTTACGAGCCAGGAAGTGCGATAATGTCAGAGAAGTACAAATAGGAAACATTCTATTTTTGAAGAGTATACTGAATTTTAAAAGCTTAATTGAATATGATATAATACTAATATCTTAAATAAGGGTGATAAAAATGAACTGCGGAAAATATTCGTATAATAAAAACATATTTAAAACGTGTTGAAGTCAAAGTCGTTATAAAAAATAATAATAATTATAGTAATCGTAAGTTTCTCAAGTAAATAAAAGTCTCTTTAAAAAAAATAGCTTAAAGACCTTAATGCCCTTGTCACATGAAAGAAAGACAAATCAGTTATTGAAATAAAATGCTGTGACAGTAAAAACTCAACAAGAGAGTATTGAGAGAAACAATTTTGTCAGATTTTAAGCTCAACTATTGTGGGTTATGTGTTCAAGCTCTACATAACCGCAGCTGCCACGCTCATTACAGAAGAGGTGGGGCGGTAGGTAAAACCACAGAATATGTATACCGCATTTAAAACTCTTTTTATTTGGGTGTTTGTGTTTAGGGTTTTTCGTGGAGTTGATGAAGATATCAGCGTTGCTCTTGCGGCTTCTATGCCTCGCATGCCTGACATAATTGCCTGGCAGCGAGGGAGCCAAATGAGTTTCAACAGCCAAAATGGCGCATGCATATTACGCATACGCCGCATATACTGCCCCAATTTGTTGACAAGCTAATTGCAAACTTTCCGCCGGCTGTTCGCATTGTGTGAGCAACTAACAAAAGGGCCCGGCGACGAGTTGAACATTTTTAAAGGCTCTGCTTGGCATTTAAACAACAACAACAACAACAAAAATGTAATGCAAATGTGAAAAAAGGTATTGTCTCTACTCGTTGTGCCACATGCAACATGTAAGGGGCTTGTTTTGCATTTTGTGTGTGCCTCTTGTTCGCTTGACACAAGCCAGAGTAACGAAAAAAAAAACTGAATAAAGTCAAAACGGCACGAGTAAATTAAGCAAAAAACATAAACAGTTGAAAGATAAGAGAGTAAAACAAAAAAAAGATGCACAAAAGGTCAAAGGAGGCGAAGACGATTCAAGTGTCGGATGAAACGAGAGAAAAAGCAATTTCTTAAGACCAGCACGTGCCTTAATTCATTTCTGTTGGCCCTAATTATTTCGAAATTAAATGGCTAAAGGGGCCACAACTGCTAAAAGTGGCCAACAATCGGTTATTTTTTTCTTTGCTTTCTGCTGAATACCTGTTTTAGAATTTAAATTAAATCCCCTTCTCCAGTCTTAGTTGCCTCTCACGAATAAGATAATACGCAACCCATTTGCACTTTATTTAATTCATTCCCGTTTATACTCTTTCTAATTGCATTATAATTAATTAGTGAAGTTTGTAACGCATTGAAAGAAGACTTCCCCTAGATCTGAAGGTATATATATTCTTGATCTGCGTCACTAGCTGAGTAGATATTGTCAGACTCTCTTAAATAGCGTTGTAGTATCTTTTGAAAAAAAACATTAACATCTGAACACTGCATAACTTTCATTGGAACAATCGGTTGCCTTTGTTTTATTTTTTATTATTATTAATTTAAGAAAAGACAGATGTTGGTGGGTTGTTTCTGTGGGGCATGTAATCTTCGAAGTGCCTAAGATACCCTTTCTTCCTTATTTTTCTAAGAGATGCGTATAGCTGTACCTTTACATGGACATTTATTAATTAACGAAATTAAAAACAAAATGACAATAAAATTGTTGACTTGACAAAATGTAATTACATTCTAAAAAAGGGTCATTAATATGGAATTAAGTTCCTCAATTAGTTGACTATGTCATCATACGCTGCTATAAATCTGTTATATTACAAAATTGTAAGTTTAAAAAATATGAATTTATGAAAGCAACTAATGCAATTTATAATACATTTAAATGTATATGGTCTGAGATGAATTTGTTTCTCTTACAAGAGTTCCAGACTTCTATAGTTGACTGTTGAAAATCCACATATGCCCATTTAGTTGTCACAAATTCTACTTACAAAAACTTTATATTTAAGACATGACAGTTTAACTTAGTTGTCTAAGTTTGTAACTGGAGCTTAAGCACTTCTTTCCATACTTAAATCATATGCAAACTGTTTGAAAGATACCTTTTCTGTAATTAATTAAACCCGTTTATAAGTTCCAAGACCCCTGCCAGCAAGAATCCAAATTCCCCATTGTCTTTTGTCGCAAATTAAAAACATTAAGAGCCCTTTTGAAGATATTAAATTTATGTTTTGGTTTTTTTTTTTGGGCTCGTATTTCGCAATTAGGTTGTGGGCATTAGCGGGCTCGAAAGTTTTAATGCCGCTTTAAGCCGTTGCAGCTGCCCCGGTTTTATGAAATTAGAAATTTTCATTCACAACGCCCAAACCAAAGCCTTTGAATCAATGCTTGCCTTTTTAATTGGCCCCTGGCCGACGTTGTGGGCCGAAGCCCAATTTTTGCAAAATCCGCTAATGGTTGAATTGGGCTGAAGAGTGCGGCGTATAAAAAGCTTATAAAGGACAACCTCAAATTGGCAGCTGCATTTTGTGGCGGCTTTCATTTTGGCCACTTGTAATTGCATGGACGAGCACCCACAAAATCCGGTTAGTAATTTGTGTAAAGTGTGTGTGAAAACAAGAGCATGTGCACAATTTACTAAGTATCACTCAAATAAATAATGCATTCAAATTGAAAGGATTTCACTTAATTCCAATTTACTGACTAGCCTAATGATACTATTCGTTTGATTTACATTTGGTGTTGAGAATTGGGCGAGCACATTTCGTGGTGATTGGCGGCAACAGAATTGCACACAATTTTCAATAATACTATACTCCGAATTGTATTCAGTTAATATCAAAAGTGAAGCTGAAGGGCTCTTTTTAGAGACACCCTTCAACTTAGAATTGGAAGTGCTATTTAAAGTTATTTGATTATGATATTTATAGTTATATTTTAATATTAAACTGCATTTTTAAGTTCCGGCAAAGCCAAAAACATGTCTGTTGCATGAAAATAACTGCACTGGTTACAGGGTATTCGTATTCTGAGTAATTTGGCGGGAATCCGCCAGTTCTCGCTACACATTTTGTTAGCATGACAAATTTGCTCACATTAAGCAGACTTGTTATGAGCGCTTTCACAATTTTTGGCTCGTTGCTCACACATATATTTCTACACACCCACACATAGAGCTCACTGGCTGCTCATTACTCATAAGGGCATGTAGTGGATATATATCCATATATGTACGCATAATAATCATAACATGAACATATTATCTGTATGTATAATATGTAAATAAAGCTTGTTTCGTGGAGTGTTAAATTAATGAACTCATGTCGTAGACATGTCTCACTTTGATTACGCGCAATCTTTCTCAGTTAACTCAGCGCCATCTTTTGTTTGTTTGCCTTAAGGCAAAAGTTTTCTTTCAGTTTTCTGCAGTTTTGCTGCATTTTTGTTTGCATGTCTCGCCTCAATTTGCCATGAGTGAAGGAAACCATTGAGATTGCTGGCAAGAAATCCTGTAATATTTAACAGATAAACATTTATACAGTTCATTGACTCGGCACTGCGTCGCAAATTGCGGTAAATCCGACATATATTTGTGTTGCATTTACATATCCAGCAATTTACTTTTGTTCTTGTTGTGTTTTTCTCGTTGGAGCAACTTTTCATAATCATAACTCAGTCGCATTTGCCATTGTCTGCCATTGCACGCTGTGTTCAATTTTACATGCTCCACGTGAAAGCACTTACTGTGCGTGTGTCACTGAGTGTGTGCGTGTGTGTGTGTGTGTGTGTCACAGATGAAAAGAAATTGGCGAATGGAAAATCAATATATATTTATGAGTTCATGTTGTGGATACACGTACAAAATATATATCTGGTAAAACGAATACTTATCCACCTTATCCATTGGGGGAATACATGTAATGCCAACTGTTTGTACGCTTCTAGCCGTAAAAGCATTTCACACATAACAATGCTACAACTACAACCAAAGTATATTATGTTTGAAATTTCTGACATTTATTTTATTATATACACATATATATATATATATATTTTCTTTTTTGCAACAAATTTTTATTTGATTTTGCGCTGAGTGCAAATTTCTTAGGCAAACGCTGTATATTATTTTATTTTATTTCTCTTTCGCGACAGCAGAGACAATTGCTACTTCAATTTACCGTAACTCAGCGATGCCCCCACTCAACAATAAAAAACATAAGCTGCCCCGCGCTGAAAAGTATGCTATGGGTATTTGTGCTCCTGTAAGCGGCTTAAGAGCTTAGCGGCGAGTGCAATTTGCAGCAGCAAATGGATGGAGATAACTTGCCACAAACCGAGATCAGCCAGTAACTAGAACAGTTAATTTTCGAGTGCAATTAAATGCTGCAGACACCTTACTAATTTAAGCTTGTTAGAAACATTAAATTCGTTGGCAAATTTATCTCAACATTCTAGTGAAAGCTAATTGACTGAAACCAAACAAAATTCAACTTGTGTCGTAAGTATGCAACAACTTGTACACCAAATTCTTAAAGCTCTTTGATAAGTTTTGGTTATGTCATCAGGAATTTGTGTCTTAAGCATGCAAAAACTATTGCATGAAATTGT